ATTCATTAAAAATCCTACAATGTGATTTCCTGGATTCTTTCCCCCCATTCTGTCTCTCATACTTGAAGTGTACCTAGGATGAAAATTACAGGCCTCTCATCTTTTTAAGTGGGAGAACTTGCACAATTGGTGGCTGACTAAATACTTTTTTGCCCCACCGTATGGTGCAAATGGCAAATGATAACTAGTCTGTCTCTAACCTGAATCCATCTGGTGAGTCATCCATCTCCTTCTTCCTAAATCTGCTAATGGTATCGTCAATGGTGTTGCCGATTTTGTCGCTGATCTCCCCCAATTTCTCGCTGAAGGGGAACTGCCCTTTATTCCTCTCCCAGTCGTCGTCCCACTTCCCCCGGCTGTCGCTGGAGTCGTACTTGTCCCCCGCTGGAGAGATGGAATAATAGTAGGTGGAAAAGGAGATCAAATAAAGAAGAAGAGGACATGAATAGAATAAAATCCCAAATATTATTTTACATTACAGTTGATATAACTCAATGAAGGACTTACTGTTGTAGCTTCGGTATCCCATACTGTCTGAGGAAACCCCGATGTATTTGTCTTTGTTCTTCTTCGATTTTTTCCGTTCTTCCCTAAGCCTCTCATCATCCTGGACAAAATCTATTACCTCCTTCACCTTCTGACGCACATTCACACCCTGATCCTTCCCATTCTCGTCTATAAACACAGAGGTGGAAACACAGACAATATAATGAATGGATTAGCAACTTTCTGTGTTACCTTTACCATCAAAACACTGAAATAAATCTAACAATCTCTGTATGAGGAAAGTTCATTTTCTTGTTTTGTAAACTTCCCCTCAAATAAACACATGGCTGGGAAGAGCGAAAGCAGCTTTAGGGAAGTGTGTGTGTTTGTGTGGCTTAAGGGTTTGTGGAGTAAGCGGTGCTTAGGGCCCCTGTCCATTCAATACAGCTCACACTGAAGCTATTGTTAATAAACACTGAACACTAAAATGCTGAGATGTAAAGAGTAAAGGTGCACAATAATTATCGGACCGATAATTATCGGTCCGATATTAGGAATTATGACGTCATCCCGATAAACCCGATAAAAGTATTAATAGCCCCGATAATATACAATATATTTTTTGGGTAAAAAAAATAAAAAAAATACTAAGGGGTGGGTGGATTGGGATGAGGGGCGCTTGATTTTAACTCGGCTCCTCCCGTTTTGCCAGTACTGTGATATTAGTGGTTTAGGAAGAGGGGAGTTTTTCACAAATCCAGCGCTCACTAACTCATGCCTGGCTGTGACGTAAATGGTGTGCGGCCGTGAAGCCAGGACAGTAAACAAACATGTCGTCGGTAGTATGGGACTATTTCAAAGTTTCAGAGTTAGATAGTTCGCTTGCTATTTGTATTAACAAATGCAATGCAGAAGTTCCACGAGGAGGGAAAAAGGCAACGAGCTATAATACTTCCAACCTGATTAGTCACCTGAAACATCGCCATCGCTACGATGGTGTGTTAAAAGCGTACGAAGACGCCTGCGCTGCTAAACTAGCGGCGAATCCAAAGCCAGCTGCAAAGGCACCGGGGCTTTTTATTTGGGAAAATAAATATGGTCACTTTGAAGAGTCAAAACTGTTCTTGGCTTTGTTTTGTTCATAGTATTAATGCTCATGTCGTTTGCTCACTACTAGTCTTTTTTTTACCACCAGGTGTGCAAAAACTACAGGTACATTTAAAGAGCAACTTCCAGGTTAAAGACACCTGTGAATAAATGTGTAGGAAAATGATGAATTCACTAGATTTTCCAAAAAATTTACAGAAATATACACTACAGTGACATCTGGCGTCGTTTTTGTAAGAAATGTTCACTTCCGCATAAAAAAGCCTCGGCACGTGACCTCCCGCGTGTGACGTAACATGGGGGAAACAAGGGGGAGAGCGGCCCGTGTAACGTATTAATAAACATGGATCCCAATGCTAGTTTCGACACAGAAGACACAGAAGAAGTTGAACACGAATATTCGAATGCATATGACGGACCACAACCTTATAATTATGAGCCTGCTAGGCGTCCAAGAGACCAGGAGCAGCCAAGGATTAGAAGAAATAACGGCCATCGGAGAGAAATTGAGCTGTGGTGTGAGGAGAACCAGTGGAGAACTGGGCAGCTATCTTGGTGAGTGACCGGCGTTAGCTACAGAATGTTAGCTAACGTCACATCACAACATTGTGAAGTTAGCTATCATATATCAGGCTATAACTAAAGTAGCATTGATAATATAGTAACGTTACTGGCAGGATTGTTGATACTGATTCTGGGGTTTGATCCTGGGGATTAACAGAATGATCTACCTAATGCGACTCTGCCCGCTTACACTACAGGTGCTGTTCGCTACCGGAGGGGAGCCGCATTTAGAGAAGTATAGAGGTCTGTGTAAGTCATGGGTAACTGACAGAAATGACTCAATGTAATGATCTCATTATTGGTATAAGAAAAAGTTTGTGGTCTTTTTTATTTCTGGCAATTTTTTTCTGTCGTTGGTGTACAACAACCACTCCTGTCCATTTTGGCAGATTGTGAGTGAGCTGGCACTGTAGTCCTGTAACTTGGTGGTGTAATCTGTGTTAGACCAATTGCTAAATACAGATCACCCAGTGA